CCTGAGACCGTCACCTTCTGTACCAACCTGTTGGTGCACTTAATCGAAATCGATGGTCGAACACACACAGAAGTTTCTTACTTCATTTAACTAGTTCACTAGGATTGGCTTTAGATAAAAAATATAAAAAAAACACGAAATATAGTATGCCCCATTGACGTCATGTCAAGTATTGAGTTCCTCCTTGCAGTTGATAAGCCCTGTGCCGTTAAATTTATAGTGGTTGCTCCAATGCCTCTTACCCTGGTATCCTGATGGTCGCGGCAAGCCGGCTAACCAACAGGCGCTCCGCCAAAGCATGACAGCCCCCGGCCTTGACCTCAGCTTAGAAAAGGTCACACATGCAGATGACACTGTCGTACGCGCATCGGCCAGCCTACCTTGTCACCCACGGTCCCTTTTGGTTACGCGCCCCAGACTGCCCTTTGACCTAACCTATCACACACCCAACACTCATTTCCGCCTGCTGACACAAAGACAAACGCATAAACGTCATTCCGCTGCTCGCACGCTTCCGTACGGTAGCATTGTTCACAAACAAGCAAACAGTCAACTCACGGCAACCTGTCTCGTGTAACCAATAAATATCTCCTAGCAGCTGATTGACTTCTTCTATTAGTCGGAACAATCTTAGTGTTTGTGGTTACAGTAGATCGCTCGTCTTTGACCAAAACAAAGTGATACCGAAATTGACTGAAAAAAAAATAATATATGGACGGTGCACTTCCGGAGGTTTCGACTGCGCTAGTAATAAGAATTAGATGTTATCAAGTGGATATGACTCCGCCAAAACGTATTTGGACATTTAAACAATTCAGTGGAGCTAATCTTAATCAAAACGTTGAGTGGCATAGTGGATGACAGAAAATCAGATTCGCAATGCTGAGCTTAAAGTTATTGGTGTGAACGAACTATTGCGTGAAATTTAGGAGTGCGCAATGGCCTTTGCTATAAGGGAAAGCACAAGACAAAGACGGCTTTCGTGAACTTGTCACTACTAGATTAATTCCAAAAACTTATGTTTCGAGCAAACGCTTATATGATCTAGAACAGCACAAGTGTTATGTCACTTTGAAACTATATAAGTTATATTCACTTGCCTCAAATACTTCATAAAAACAAGCGTTTTCTTTGCAGAATGGCACTTTTAACAGACAAGCTGGAAGAAAGTATACACTTTACACGGAAACATGAGTTGGCTTATGGATCTATTAGCTAGACAGGCGGAGACATGCATTCCAAGAATAGTTTTTGGGGCATTTTTGACCGGAGGATGTTACGCCAGTCGGGTAAAGCGGAGGGGCGTATGGGCTGATTGTGATTTTTGGTTTTATTCTCCATCTCAACGCGCATGGCCTGACCACAAAGCGATGCTGCAATCTCCTGTTGCAAGCGAGGCAGGGCCTCCCTCAGCCAATTCTTTGCCGAGGCATCTTGCTCCCCCAGACAGGCTCGCAAAAATGTGACTTTTCGGAGGGCAAACTGCAGTACTCTTGCCTTTGACTTTTTTGACCTGGCCTTTTCCAGAAGTTCCTCGATTTCGGAAAGAGCGCGCTGTGCAAGTCCAAGTTTCCCCAACAAACAGTGCAAATCATCTGTCGATAGGACAATCGTGGAAGAAGAGCAGGCGAGACGATTCTCGGCCAAACGAGACTGGAAGAAGGCCAACACCTCTTCAAAGTTGGAAAAGATGGGTGCTGTTACGGAAGTCTCCCCGACTATACGTGTTCTGTCTGTCTGACACTTGAACATGTCAGACTGCGGCATCTGTGGAGCGGCCAGGCAGCTCACGAGCTTGAGGAGGAAGTCAGCTGACTCCAAATACATATCCTGCAGGTAGTCACCGTTGAAGTACCTGAGGTGAATTAAAAATACACAAATCCCAAGTAAAGAGAAGCCAGGGTAAAAAAAACTGAAATCGAGAAAATAATAAGATGCGATGTAAATATTAAGTACAAACCTGGCTGTCAACGTGAACCCTAAGAGAACTTCGGCCATTGAATAGATAATTGATGGATGCGGCGCGGAGGACAAGAGTTTAGAGAGTTGTTTCACTGGGCGCAAGACTGAATGGTCGGCACTTTCGATACAGTCGTCGGGGAAGGAGGTTATGAGGTCCTTGGCGGACGGATGCCACCACGGCGTCCAAAGAGGAATGGACGAATAAATTGTACCATTAGCCAGTTGTCTGTGGAATTCGCGTTTTTCTTCTTTTGACAGGCGGCTCCACAAAGTCTCGACATCTAGATCTGGTGCTGTAAGGTCTATTTCGTTCAATCTGAATGGCAAAAATCGGAGAACTGTACGCAAGTTTGGAGAAAAAGATAAGTGCACTTGCCCAACGAACAACGGAATTACGAAAAGACTTGGCTACATACGCGGTAACAAACAAAAGTGGCAGGTACAAATACGCCCTCTTCCTGATAAAAAGTAATGTGGTTCCACTTGGAGCCAAGTCGGTGCGGACAACTATCCAGCGATCGAGTCATCTTCTTCTCGGCTATCCAAATATTTGCAGCGGCAAAGCGAACAGGATAGACAGATGCGATGACTTAAACTGCCACCAGAAGAGGATAAATGAAATGAATCATGATGTGTACGGTAGGATCGCCTTCCAAAGGTCAGAGAAGTCGCAATTTTCGGACCTCGACAACTGGCAGTATTCAAGCCACCGAGGTCACCTTTGGATATTTACTTTGCGGAACTCCCTCAAAAATTTGCATCAGATGGTCTAACCAATCTGTATAAGGCTCGTAAAAATGGCTGTCGCAGTACTAAGTCATTACTAGGGGATGGATAGTTTAAGCAGCTCAACGGCTGGCTAAATAGTGATTTTTTCAAAGACTAGATAAGCAGTAGAGTCCCTTCTAGCTTTAAAAGTGCAAAGTTTTATCGATATGATAAGTCGAGGATTTCGAACCTGGAGTTCTCCAAAGGGGCGCGGATCCACGAGGAGACGTTTGGAACGTCAAAGTAAGCACGCTCAAAAACGAAACGGTTGACTTGTTAGTCGGATAAATACGACGGACGAGAGTTTAATACATAGTACGATTCTACAAATAGCCAGCATCCCAAGCCACATAATATCACTATTACGAGCTGGAGGCAACACTCCAGTACTGATAGTTTTTGAGCTTTGCTTAGGAATCGTCTTGTGGTAAATTGCTAGTTCTTGTGCGTAACACATCCATCAGAATTTACCGATTTTCCGACTAAAGCCTGAATTTATAGCTGACAAGCATACTGCATTTATGGACGGTGATGTAGCCCCAAAGCTAAATAGCTAGGGTGGTACGGGAAGACCTGTTTAGTAAATACTCTTTAGGTCGATGACCACCCGATATCATATAAAATTTACGTAGATCGGAGGGCTTATTTTTCGGAAACAGCAAACGTCCAGATCACCACCGACACTGCTAACAGTTCAAGGTGAAGGCAGTAAACAAAATTACGGCATCCGCCTCACTAAACTGATGGATTATAAACTTACGAAGATAGTTAAGAGGATCTAATAGCAAAATTTTCTCCGCAACATTTATTGGAAGATTAGTAATAAGCTACTTATTTAAAGATTGCGACAGGGTTTAGAGGTTTTTTACACTAGGCACAAAATGTTGAACAAGACTTGACTTCTAAAGAACATTTATATGGAAATGTAACCATTTTAACACAACATTTAGACAACCAAAGTTACTTTTTCTAACATTATATTCTATTCATAACTAAAACGTGGATGCTGATTCGGATTTTCTGATTTCACCGTAAAAAATCTCTCAATATAGCCTGCCAAAATGTTCACACTGTTTATTTTTTATGCATTACTTAGAGAACATTCATGAAGCGAACGGCACAAAAGCAGTCAGCTTCGCGTCTCGAATGCTCAAAGTCCCCAGAGTAAAAAAGCTTACCGTCGGGCACAAACTTCAGGTCTACATGCTTGCGAAGTGAGGTATGGAAACAAAACATTTTGCCATGGACTTCTAATGTGCCTTCTTTGTTCTTAAAAATCTAGTCATGATTGAGAGATACATTACGCGCAGCCATACATTGAGTATTAAACACGATATTTAGATACGCTTGCGGGCACGAAAATTGGCAAAATTAATTTTCAGTAGTGAGTAGAAGGAAACAGTTTTTTTATTTACACAGACTGGTATATTGTTTCTCGACTGATGATCTTTTCATTTCTTTTCTCAAACGCGTTTAGCGGATACTGACTCGAAAAATCAAATGAGGTCTTCGTGTGGACTTTGTGAGTTAACTTAATTACTTACAAGTAAACACGACCATCGAAAAGAGGAATGACTACGTCTGCGGCCGACTATACATTTTTCCCTAAACCTAAGCGACGCGCGCTAGAAAATGCTTAAAGGATGACTATCATATCAAATGTTCGTTTTCACTAGGAAGGGGGAACAAAACAGACAAAGGTGATGCAAGAACGAAAGACAAATCTCAGCCTACCGTCTGAAAAGGCGAGTCAAGGTTAACCGCCGGGTTGAGCTAGGTGTAAATAGACTCATAGACATGGCTGCGACCGGACCCGATGAAGATTCTGGATAGCTTCCCTCCACGACCTACTGATTTACTTTGTGCCTATTTTCCCACACACTATAGCATTTTTAAATACGTAGCAAGCGACGATATGGCACTACTCAGAATTCACGCTCACGAATGGTGCAACAGCACGTATCGGGCGCAGCAGTCGTATATTGTCTTTCGCCGTAAAGTAGGTCAAGGTGACGTCAAGGATGGCGAATATTAACGTGAACCTTTCATCCGCCTAGAGGTTGGAAGAATCAATGTCCAGCACGGTGTCCGCAGGGGTAGGTCCTGCGTAATAAATTTGCTCTACTGTTTAGAACGTTGGACTGAGGTAGTCGATAGAGGGAATTCGGTGCACGCAGTCTATATCGACTTTAAAAAGACTTTCGATAGCTTCCCGCACCACTGCCTTCTTTATAAACTCAGCCGCATAGGAGTAAGAGGTGGGCTTCTGGCATGGATAGAAAGTTTCCTAATCGGCCGCTTGCAACCTGCCCATATCAGCGACAAAGAGTCTGCCAAGGTTGCAGTTGTGAACGGTGTTCCCCAAGGCTCCGTTCTCGGCCCTATTTTGTTCATTGTCTACATCAACGATTGCCTCAGCGAACTGGATTGCGGTATCGCAATGTTCGCCGATTATATCAAACATTGAAGCGTCATTCGAACTGCGGCTGACGACGCGAACCTGCAGGCAAATTAAAATCGATTCAAAAAATGGTCAAAGGACTGCCTCTTGCCGTTCAATGAAAGCAAGTGCAACATCATATGAGTCGGCAAAGTAAGTCTTTCAAACGGCACGGTTTACCTTTTAAACGGTATAATACTGAAAGAAGTGAACGCCCAGAAAGACTTGAGAGTCTGGATCACGCCCTCGCTTAAACCCTTCCTGCATTGCGCAAAGGTAGCGAAGTCTGCGATGTCAGTTCTGTACCTCGTCAAGCGAGCTTTTTTTATCTCCAATGACGACTGTTTCCCCAAAGTCTTCGTGGAGTGGAGTGCGCTAAGCTTGGAGATCATGGGCAGCTAAAGACATCAACACCCTTGAAAAAGTTCAAAGGCATGCAACCAAACTTGTCATTGGATAGGGTTCATAGTCCTATGAAACAAGGCTGTGGAATCTTGATCTCTTCCCTGTGCGCTACAGACAGCTTCGGGGGACGTGATACTAACAGCCCGCATATTACGCGTTCAGGACTGTTGTCTTGTATCGGGAAATTTCGTCGAGTTAGCAACAACGAACTTGAGAGTTGATCCTCTCAAATTACGCCAGGCTGGATGCTCGGAAGTATTTTTTCTCCGAAAGAGTGGTCGAAGCTTGGAATACTCTTCCTTTGGATGTCGTTATGTCGGAATTTCTAGAGGTTTTTAATCGAAAGCTGGACCGATATAGCAGTGCGCGCTACAATAGGAACCGACCGCCGACGACAGACTACAATTAGAATACTTCTTTCTATATTCAGATAGAATTTGTTTTATAGCATGACGTTTTAAGATAAAGAGGGTTTCAAATCCGATCTACGTCTACAAACGGCGAAAACGCAAAACTATAGTATTACTAGCTATAGTTCAACAGCAGTTATATATACTATTTTTACGTGAGTATTTCGGCAAAGACAAGGCACCGTAGTATACCTATTTCTGGCTTTTTGGCTGTCATCAACTACAGGTAGCCAACTCTAGTGTAGCCGCTGAAATTGCCGACA